AAAAAGAGCTGCAAAACTACAAACCTCTTTGTCGTGGTGAGCTGCAAGTTCCTGGTGTAATATCCAAAAGGTTAGAATAATACGTTGATAGAGTTAATTTTATAATTATCAAGTAACGACGTAAGTATGACTGTAAAATATAACATTTTCACGCTCGCACTAACGACGGTTTCAAGCTCAATATTGAGGCTATTTTTCAGCATAAATGTTGAATCTGATGTACCTACCTTTGGTGCTTGGATAATGCCAATTGCCAGATGTGAAAATTTTTTTCTCTATCCAGATTAAAATGCAGATACCTGACGGAAAACCACCCATTCCTGAAGTTAGCCCCAATCAAGATGGAGTATCATTACTTGCAACCTGACCTCATCGTGTTTCATGACGTCATGAGTGACGACGAAATAGAATTCATAAAAGCTACTGCCCAGCCTAGGGTGAGAAATTTTACTAAAGTGTTACATAACATTTGGGGAAATAAATAACAATTAAAGGTCATTTATTTTTTATCTTCTGATTAAAAAGACCAATAAAGCAATTTATACTTTTCGAAGGTTTTTAGGGCAACTTTCAAAACAGTCGCCTTTCGTCAGGGTGGGTTATGTAACTCGTGATTATGAACAAATTTTAGTATTGGACCAAGGGTGACATAAAAGTCTGTTGACCCATCATTTTGGTCACGGTAATACTATCTATACAGTATTCCAACTCGACCATATTTTTGAAATAAATGTCAACAGCCGCGCGGTACGTCACGGTATGACAACATGCGATAGGGCTGCCTACCTACAGACCCTATTTTCATAACATCTGCCTACTAAGAATTTTTATCTAGTTTTGTGAATGTAATTTTTTTTTTATTTTGACAAACAAAATACTTTGTGAATGAAATAGGATAAAAATGCACGTTGTTTTGTGATTAGTAGATTTAATTAAAAAAATATGTGTGTATGTGTAATGTGTTAAGATTTAGTAACAAATCTTATACATTTGCGACCGTAAAATGTATGCGCCTCGACTGAAGCGTACAAAATGCTTGATTATTATACAGGGTGTTAGGTAAATGGGTTTACAAGCCGACACTAGCCCATGTTAACATGTGCATATAAATGGTATGGTGATGTCAGAAAAATTATATCATCATACCAATCTGATTTTATAAATTTTATTTTGTATGAAAATTCAAAAAATAAAATGATGATATCACTGACTTCACCATAATATCATTTAATGTTAACATGGGCTAGTGTCGGCTTATAACATCCTGTATAAATAGGTACTTGTAATTATTTTTATAAAAAAGAGCGCTTACTGTTTAAAAACAACACATCTTCCGTTTATTACTGTGGCACATTCGCGACACCCCCGACTTTTGCATGTCGAGCGCATACCGAGATTTGAATTTCGAAGGAAAGCTCGTGTTTCGTCCGTTTATATGAAGTTACAATACTGTATGATAGTATTACCGTGTTTTGGTTGTACCTACCTATCGATAGCAATGTTTGATTAACAAACTGTACAAATAAAAACGAGACTAGCCTAGCCTCCTTTGTGCTGCAACACCTTTTTACAAATGTGGTTGGACATTCAAACTTACATAAAGTTCCCTCAAAGTTCCGGCGAGCAGGCACCCGAAGTGGCGAAAATGGTGCCTCGGTCCCCTCTAAGTACCGGATCAGCAAGTCAGCGTGGCTTGAAGATAGCGAGTCGCCGGTGATCGCTCGCGTGTCGCAGCGCGTGGCCGACATGACCGGCCTCAACATGGACACGGCTGAGGAACTGCAGGTGGTTAACTATGGCATCGGGGGACATTACGAACCGCACTACGACTTTGCTAGAGTGAGTACAGCAATTACAGGTCTAGCTCTTAACTCAATCTCACTCACTAGTGAGCGCGTTTGATGTAAACTCACACTCAGCCGTCTGGGGGCGTAGTGTGGGTTACGTCAAACGCATTCGATGTCGACTGCGTAAAAAAGTAACATTAAATGTATGACGGATTGTACAGCGCCCCTAGCGGAAACTATCAAGAACTAAAATCGTCATATATTTTTAACGCGCTCGCTAGTGACGACGTTTGATGTAAACTCACACTAACCTCTGTATTATTCGGTGCAGCAGTTTGTTATAATTGCTTTTTTGTTTACAGAAACACGAAAATTTAATCAACTATCGTAACGCTGGGAATAGAATAGGCACAGTTCTATTTTATGTGAGTATTTTTTATATTAAAAAAGAAAAATTAAAATAATAGATGCTTCTTCGTGATCAATGGGGATCCGCACTGCGAATCTAACCCGCCAGTCGGTGCATCAAATACAAAGTTTCATATAATTTTACTTAACACTGGCTAAATAAATGTGCAAACCGCACGAATAATAATCTAAGGAAAAAAACAAAAGGTTTGATATTTATAGAGCTCTCCTGGCGTCATCTACAAAAGCTTAGTGTATGGAATCCCCTTACTGTGAAGTCAGAAATTCCTTGCTCCAGCCAGAAAAAATTACCTTCTGTTATTTCTTCGGTGTCAGATGTCGAACGTGGCGCAAGGCGGCGCGACGGTGTTCACTAAGCTGGGGGTCAGCTTGTTCCCTATCAAAGGCGCGGCGGCGTTCTGGTACAACCTGCACCCGTCGTGCGAAGGAGACCTGGCCACGCGACACGCCGCCTGCCCGGTGCTGCGGGGCTCCAAGTGGGGTGAGCGCTAGCAGGCTAGACATAAGACCTAGAAATATAAGTGCTTTTTCACCTCTAAATTGACTGGGCGGTATGTAGTTCGCCGGACCAGATGAAATCTAGAAAATTAAATCATGAAACTTCACTTTCCAGCAAATAAGTAAGTCATCTAAAAACAAATTATTATATTTACAGTCTCAAACAAATGGATCCATCAAGGCGGGCAGGAGTTGCTGCGGCCTTGCGGCCTCCAATACCAAGAGGAAGGCGTATCCCGCAGGATACCGAAACCCATCCTCAAGACCTCCAGTCCTGGCTGCCAAGTAGTGTTGATACCACCCCAAAAAGGCACTAACTTTACCCATATCCCTAAAGCGAACTAGAACTCAAATGCTTAATAAAGTAAAGTGAATATTACTGCACTAAATGTACGGATGCTGGAAACTTACCTTGCGTAGAAGACTACGTAAGGTAATAAAGATATTTGGGCTATAATATGTATTAAAAGTACTTACATATTATTATTAACTCTTTTTTTTATTCAACCCTTGTTACCCGTCAGCATCAAACAATTTCAAGATTCCGTTTCTCAAAAAAAAGTGAAATAGGATTAACTACCTCATTAAAATTTTTCTATCAACTCACAAGTCTCTTGGTATTGGTAGCGCAACGAGTGCTGTGGTCATCAACACAAACATTTTAGTAAGAAATGTGTAATCAGGGGGCTTACCTAGTGTGAGTTTACGTCAAACGCATTCGATATCGACTACGTTAAAAAAATATATTATTATGAAGACTAGCTTTCTGCCCGCGGCTTCGCCCGCGTGAAATTTTGTCTGTCACAGAAAAACTTTATCGCGCGCGTCCCTGTTCAAAAACCGGGATAAAAACTATCCTATGTCCTTTCCCGGGATTCAAACTATCTGTATGCCAAATTTCATCAAATCGGTTCAGTGGTTTAGGCGTTAAGACAGACAGACAGAGTTACTTTCGCATTTATAATATTAGTATAGATTTTAGTTCTTGAAAGTTTCTGCTAGGGGCGCTGTACAATGCGTCATACATTTAATGACACTTTTTCATGCAGTCGATATCGAATGCGTTTGACGTAAACTCACACTACGCCCCCAGAGGGCGCCACGACGTTAAATGTATGACGTATTGTACAGCGCCCCTAGCGGAAACTTTCAATAACTAATATATTCATTCATATATTTTTAAACGCGCTCGCTAGTGAGCGCGTTTTGATGTAAACTCAAACTCAGCCCTCTGATGTGCCGTCGTCCGTACTTATAGGCTTCGCCAGTAGAATGCGTAATTTAGGGCGCGTTATAGCGTCGAATGGTGTTGATTTGGTAGAACGTAAAACCGTCCTAATGCCGCAAAAGAGCGATGCGCACTGCAATGCTAGTGCTGGCGCTGTGTTGGACATGAAACTATTCACATTCTAACAAACAATAAAATTCTACGTCAGGCTAGTAACTACGCGTACTTAGTTACGCGTTCCATTTGGCGAAGCCTTTAAGTGTTGACTTTAACAATGATTAAGTATCAGCTGTGCAATTTTATTATTTACAATTAAGTTATAGTTAAAAACAATGAGTAATGTTATGTTGGCCTTTGTTAATGTGACATTGCATTAAGGTAGAGAACTCACGAACTTTATAAACGTCAACAGTGGATTAAAATCATTTTTTTTAAATCGGTGAAAATTTAAGATTGGTTGGATTGGTAAGCTATTTTGAAACATTTAAAATTCTTCTTCTTCTGCCTCGCCTTATCCCGTTACGCGGGGTCGGCTTTCCCAATCATGCGTCGCCATTTGATCTTTAACATTTAAAATTATCACAAGTCATCTTCTTTGAACACAAGAAGCAATATCTAATAGCGTTAACCGGTGTTGGTGAAGTTATCGATCAAATTTCATTGAAGCGTTGATTCTACGTAAAGTGCGTACGCGGCCCCACGTTGGGCGCCAGTTTATAGAATAATTTTTTATAAGACTACTTTTTTTAAACAAAACAGATATTTTGACTGTCCAATGTCCATCCAAAAAAAAAACAGATCTACTTGAAATAAACAAGTGAAAGTAAAATGAATATAAGACTAAAGATCACCAACAAAATTCAGTGAGCTCTAAGCTTAATGGCCGACAGAGCACAATGGCAACTGGTCAAATAAAACTCGATATAAATAATAATCTTCTTTGTTCAATTCTTTAGACTATAATAGAATATTTTAGTATCAACACCTCATATATTCAATTGTAAATAAAATAGTGGTTAATAAGTAATAGTTACTGGTTACGTTTAATTCCTCATTGGTTAAATTAAATTTGAGATAGTAAATTAATAACGACTTATTCATATTTTTAAAAAGTCTGTTCTAATAAGATTTTCGTGAATAATGTTATCGTTTGAATTTACGTGTTTGATGTGTTTTTGTATGTGGATGAGTTTATTCTCGAGAAGTGAAGCCGAAGTGTTCACTGCAATATCAGACGTTGAACCTTTAATAGAAACACATCAGAGAATAATAAACGATGTGAATGAGTATATCGCGGCTGAGGAAACGCGGCTGTCCACGTTGAAAAAGTAGGTTGTGTTATTAAGCATTAAGTACCTTTATTTTGGAGACAATACCTAAAACATCATAAAATACTCTGAATTGTATTCATTACCCCATTATTTTTCTGAGCGACAGAGGGGCTAACATATTGATTAATTGTGCGCTTCAGGCGATTAAAACTCTACAAAGAAGAGCATGAAACGGCAATGGCGGATATTCCAAACTATTTGGCCAATCCCATCAACGCATTTACTCTTATAAAAAGGCTGACTAAAGATTTGGAGAAAATGAGACAACTTTCTCAAATCGGAACAGGTAAGTTTCTAGGAGTTCACCAACTTTTTATGAGTGCATATCCATAATCCCCATTTATAGCGATATTTCTGCGACCAACTAAATTTCACGCGAGCGGAGCCGCGGGTAAAAGCCGGTCTGGTACAAGATATTTATTCGTACAATAACATTCACGTTTACAAACCAAATAAGTTAAATGCAATGTTTGACAGAAAATTCAAACATTATCGCAAAAACTCATGAGGATTTGAAGTATCCCGTATTAGAAGATCTGACAGGCGCTGCTGAAGCACTGACACGGCTTCAAGAAACATATGAACTTAATGTTCAGGATTTATCAGAGGGGCTGTTGAACGGCGTGGTTTACAGGCAAGTATTTATTTGATAATTTATTTCCAAAAATAAATTGCAACAAGTTTCAAGCTTGTTGCACACGTACCACAACCACAAATCGTGGACGTACGCTAATTTATTTAATCACACGCACCACATTTTGCCGTCACTATCGGCCACCCGCAGCCACGTTACAACCACAACGCAACCACCAGCGAAACCATGACAATCCAACCACATCCACATTTTGTAGAGACCATAACCCAACCGCTAGAAGCCGCAGCGATACTATCCACACGTAACAACTTCACAGCTTGACCACTTTATGTCGCAAATGGTGTGGAGTGGTTGTGGTACGTGTGAAACAAGCCTTATTGAGACTACCTAAGGCAACAATATTGTCTCTTCATGGAGCTACCTACACTTACTTTAATTTTAGTTTAGGCTATTAGCTAGCCTAGAATAATTTCTACTATTAGGTAAGTAGGTACCGGAAAACGCAGCGTGGGACGTCCACCTACCAGGTGGACCGATGACATCGTAAAGGTAGCAGGGAAGCGCTGGACGCAGGCCGCTACCAATCGATCAACATGGAAAGCATTAGGGGAGGCCTATGTTCAGCAGTGGACGTCCTATGGCTGAAATGATGAGGTAGGTAGGTATCTACCTACATAATATTAAAGACGTTTATAAAGACTGTGTATTGTCGAAAGACATCTATTTATGTAAGTAAGTACTTCTAGCCAGATTACCTGAACTGAAATACGATTTATTTTACGAAGAAAAGCTATAAGTACCTAGGTATCACGTTTTTTAAAAATCTTCCTCGCTATGGTGGCACATAAAGTGTTGAGTAATATGCATGTCATGCATTAGACCTACTTATTCATGAATTTTTTTTTATGTATGACATGAAATAATTTAAGAAAATAATATTCGTTTTGTATTATTAGTAAACCGATGTCGGCGGGCGACTGCTTCGAGATAGGTAAAGCCCTGTATGAAGTACAAGACTACACTAATTCGCTAGCCTGGATGACAGAGGCGCTACGGAAATACTCGGAAAAGGACGAACTTAGCGACTACAGAGTGATTGACTACATGGAATATATTGCACTCTCGCATTATTACCTCGGTTTGTGTCTACTTTTTTACAATTTTTTAAGTTCGTTTGACTGAATCGAGCGAAAAACAGTATTCAGAACGCGTTGCTGTCACTGAAAAACAATCAACCAAACTTGTGTTATGTGGCTCTTATAAAACGATATGGCCTGTTATGGCCTGAAAAATGTTTTTATTTATAGGCGATACCAAAAGTGCTTTGCACTGGACTGAGCGGATTGTGGAGCTGGATCCAGAATACCAGCATGGTCCCGGGAACATTAAACTCTACCAGAAAATTATCGCTGAAAAGGAAGCTAAGGAGCTGAACGGGGTGAGCATTTGATTATTCCTGAAAGTTACAACAACTAAATTTTTAAAATACGGTGTGGAAAAGCACTTTTACACGTCACGTAAAGGTTGCCTTCTTTTTGTTCTTTGTGTGTACGATGGACGTTTAACAATGAGTCTAAGTTACAATGCTTTTTTGAAATAACCAAATAAAATCAAAGCTAAAAAAATCCTGCCTAAAGTTAGCTACCTATTATATTTTCGGTTTATGTTATTCTGATGGCTTAAGTTATTTCTATTTAATAATTTTTCATTAGGAAGTTGTAGAAAAACAAACACCAAAATCGCCAGTGTCCGATGATGAATACGAAAAAGAGCTGCAGATTTATAAAGTTCTATGTCGCGGTGAGCTGCAAGTTCCTGGTGTAATATCCAGAAGGTTAGAATGATACGTTGATAGATTTAATTTTATATCAAGTAACGACGTAAGTGTAAAAATATAACATTTTTACTGTCACACTTTGACGACGGTTTCAAGCTCAATACTGAGGCTGTTTTTCAGCATAAATGTTGAGTCTGAGTTGACCTACCTTTGGTGCTTGGATTCACAAAATTCTAAAAGAAATGCCAATTTCCAAATGTGAATAAAGTTTTTCTCTATCCAGATTAAAATGCAGATACCTGACAGAAAACCACCCATTCCTGAAGTTAGCCCCAATCAAGATGGAGTATCTTTACTTGCAACCTGACGTCATCGTGTTTCATGACGTCATGAGTGACGACGAAATAGAATTCATAAAAGCTACTGCTCAGCCTAGGGTGAGAAATGTTACTAAAGTGTTTATAACATTTGGGGAAATAAATAAATAATTTATTTTATATCTTCTGAATAAAAAAGGCCAACAAAGCAATTTATATTTTTCGAACGTTTTTAAGACAACGTGGTTATAAAAAACTTTTACTATTGGATCAATGGGGACATAAGAATCTGTTGACCCATCATATTGGTTGTATTAGTAGCATTTTTTGATATAACCAAACAAACTGTACAAATAAAAACAAGACTAGCCTACTTTGTGCAGCAACACCTTTTTTTACAAATTGTACCCATCAACATTCAAACTTATACAAAGTTCCCTCACAGTTCCAGCGAGCAGGCACCAAAAGTGGCGAAAATGGCGCCCCGGCCCCCTCTAAGTACCGGATCGGCAAGGTAGCGTGGCTTGAAGATAGAGAGTCGCCGGTGATCGCTCGCGTGTCGCAGCGCGTAGCCGACATGACCGGCCTAAGCATGGTCACGGCCGAGGACCTGCAAGTGGTCAACTACGGCATCGGGGGATATTATGTGGCGCACTACGACTTTTCTACAGTGAGTTGGGATAACGCTTTAGGGCAGTGGTTCCTAACCTGGGGGTAATTACCCCCGCAGGGGTAAAACGGAAATTCTAGAGGGGTAACACGGGATGGCACGAAAAAGTATTAAAATAGCAATAAACAAAATAATAGTACGGTACAGGCCACGCCAAACTTATTTAGCAAAAAATTGCGTGGTGGGGGTAAATTTGGCCGTCGTAAAATGTATCGTATGCCTTATTTAATATTATCATTATAATTTAATAAAATATAATGAGACGCATTTTTTTACAGAAACAAGATTTTATCGAGTACGACCCTAATGGAGATAGAATCGCTACTGTATTGTTTTATGTAAGTTTTTTTTTCGTCAAACCCATACGTAAGACTCGTTTAATAATAAAATACGTGCCTTGTCTGACCTGAAACCCTGCTCTCAACTTACCAGATGTCAGACGTGGCGCAAGGAGGCGCGACAGTATTTCCGAAGCTGGGACTCAGTGTGTTCCCCGAGAAAGGCGCGGCGGCGTTCTGGCTAAACCTACACCCGTCCGGCGAGGGAGACCTGGCCACGCGACACGCCGCCTGCCCGGTGCTGCGAGGCTCCAAGTGGGGTAAGACCTGCCTTATTACTAAACTCTTATTTCTTTCCATTTTCATTATAATTCTTGCAACTCACGAATTCGAGTGAGCTTTAGGTACTTGTGTGCACATAACGATAGTGTAATGTCTATCAAAACTTTTGAAAACGAACAGTAAAGAGCCACCACACATGTAAAAGCTCACTCGCTTTCGTGAATTGCAACAACTATTATCGATTACTCGTTCAAATACATATAGGATGGGAGAACATCTGATTAGACAATCGCAAAGCAACTGCCAAAGGAAACGAAGTTATCGCATACCAAATCATCTATCTAGTTCTAGTGAAATGGTTCCCCAAATGCGGTAATAGGTAGCGCTATAGCTAATATGGCTTGCGTGACGAAAATGTCCCGCACCTTGAATGCGAGCTATCCGAACACCCAATGAATATGAGTCACTAAGGCCAAGCCGCACTTGAGCGGCGCTGCGCGGCGCGGCATAGAGCGTCACATTATACAGGGTGACTTTTAAATTGTTGGCATTCTTTTAAACGAAGACTCTACTCATGGTTGTACATAGTACATTCCCTGAATATGAGACAAATCCAATGAGTTAAATTTCAAAAACTAAAATTTTGTACAGACGACAGCACATCAAACTTAACACTGTGGCATCTTATTTCGATGTAGGTGTTATTCTGCAACAAAAATCTATAATCTGAAGTGCTGTTAACTGTACAATCGTTCTAAACTCTTTCTAAGAGCACACTAATACATACAAATAAATAGTAAAATTGAGACAAAAAAACTCATTGGATTTGTCTTATATTGAGGGAATGTACCATGTATCATGAGTAGAGTCTTAGTTTTAAAGGATGCCAACGATTTAAAAGTCTATAATTGCTCGAATGGGTTCTGCTGACCTCTATAGCACCAATAGCCACAACAATAGCGCTGTAAACAAGGACTATAAGAGTTGTACCTCAATAAATTGTTTGCCTCCTGTCACATAAAAAAATTGCTTAAACGAACCTGCAGAAGGTCATAAATTAAAATAGGTTGTGAAAACACGATAATATAAGGAACACTGCTTATATCTTGAAAAGTCACAGCAATAATAAAATAACTCCTATTACAATAAAATAACTTAAATGCCTATAAGTTTTTTAAGAGCTTTTGCTTCGGAATAGGGAATGAAAATCTCGCGAGATTGGTGCTCAAGTGAGATCCCGCGAGTTTATGAATAACATTACTGCAAGATCTCGCTAATTTCGAGATCTCGCGAGAACGAGATTACATTCCCTACTTCGGAACATTTCTGCGAGAAAACTCTAGCTATCAATATTAACAGAAATTCATAATTTTCCATTACCATTCTGATTTAATATATTACTTGTTTATAGTCTCAAACAAATGGATCCACGAGCGCTCACAAGAGTTCTTGAAGCCTTGTACCCTGGAGTACCAAGAGGAAGGAATCCTCCGCAAGCTTCCAAAACCTATTCCAACGAGTCACAGATAATATAACAAAATATATTAACAGTACGTAATATGCTACTAACTAATATCTAAATTATTTTATTTTATTATTATGAATTCATACAGGTAGCATAATGAGTCTTATTTAATTAAAAATAACAATACACTTGATACTAATGCAATACTTTGCCTCATAGTTATTTGTTCAGCCGTTATAAGAAAGTAAGTGATAGGTAGGTACCTACGTCAATTAACATAAAAAAGCAATTTACGGATAGCAAATGTTTGCAAAACACAATTTCAGGACAAGGGTAAGTCGGACTCGCGTACTAAGTTTTCTATACAAACTTGTAATGAATTGAATGAATTAATTAATATTTTAGAGCAAAAAATTATTTAAAAAAACTGTCATTTTTGGTCTCTTTTTAGTATTTGTTGCTAAGCGGTAACAGAAAATAAGTACTTACTTAGGTACATCATCTATGAAAATTTCAAATGTCTAATAGGCCAGGAGAATTAAACACAAAAATGAATTAAATCGGAAATAATTCCTACAAAAGATTTTATTGCTTTAATGGCTTCATTGGTTGCCCATTAACACTCTCCTAAGTTTTCGACTTCGACGGAGTTGTGCTTAAGTTGTGGGGGCCCTCGAAAGGAGCGTTTTTTCGGTTTTCCGGTTATACCGCGTAAAGGACTTACCTTATCGAAAAGCGGTCTTCATGACGGTTGAAGGGCACTTAATCCTGCATTCAATAAGACCAAATTCATATGTTTTGAACAAACCGTTCTCGTGTTTATCTTCGACAAAGTAGAAAATGCACGTATAATAATTAATAGCTAATAGCTACGTCCAATAGCTCGTCACCCGCAGGCTCCCAAGCCTTATAAAGGGCCGCCTTAACCAGCGTATTCCTGTCAAGGCTCGCGAGTTGGATTCGACCATCAATCCCTATTTTTTAAGTGACCCCTATGATAACAAAATTCCTATTAAGTGTTACCATAGGGGTCACTTAAAAATTAGGGATTGATGCTGAAAACGGGAAAAAGTCTAGTTTTGCAGTTTTACAAACAAGGCTATGCTTTTAATAATAAATACTTGATTTTAATATCGTTGAGAAATTAAGATAGTCAAGTGAACACGAATCTTACGTGGCTAGAATCATATTATTTTGATAATCAAATATAATATAAACTAAATTTAACTAAAATCTCCATTTTTATATCTTCAATCTGCTTCAGTGAACGTTGTGCGGAGAGCAATTTAAGACAACAAAAACGTTACATATAGAATTATCTGTATACTGTACATAACATTCCTGTTGTTTATACATTACCCTAAGTCTTCTTTGTTCACGTTTGTTGGTTCTTCGAACAGAAGTGCTGTTTGGTAGAATACTCCAGAACAAACAAAGTAAGTACATGCATGTCCCAACTTAGCATTGCACACTACTGTGTTTGCTATGAAACACTCTTAGACTGCTCCTCTTGTCTTGAATTCTTCGTTTCGAATGCAAAACTAGACTGCATACTAAGTACCTATTTATACTTACCTATCGAAATTATGATTGTAGGTACTACAAAAGATCCTTAAAAAATTCTACATACATACTACATACTATACTCTTTCACGCAAAAACTACTGAACAGATTTTGATGAAACTTTACAGTATTATTGTTTATAACACAGAATAACATATAGGCTATAATTTACGCGGGTGAAGCCGCGGGCAATTAAGTCTTTCCGAACGGATTTGCGTTTACCTACCCTTAAATTATAATTAGTATTACATGAGTTGCTAAAACGTTACTCTATAGATTTTCTATGGCAAAGGGACCCCACTAATCTAGTTAGCGAACTCAATTGTCCAACTTTTATCGATTTCAAAGCTGCTGAAAATCTAATTTTACTGTAAATTGAAAACCCACCAGGGTTTTCAGGGCTTGATGAAGTGTTTTGAATTAACTATGTCCTCTAAGACAAAATTACTCTTTTTCGTTTATGTTAAGTAAATCTATACTAATATTATAAAGCTGAAGAGTTTGTTTGTTTGTTTGTTTGTTTGTTTGGTTGAACGCGCTAATCTCAGGAACTACTGGACCGATTTGAAAAATTCTTTTTGTGTTGGATAGCCCGTTAGTTCCTGAAGGCTTTAGGCTATATATCATCACGCTAAGACCAATAGGAGCGGAGCACCAATGAAGAATGTTTCAAATCAGTGATTTTTTTCCTTTTGAGAGCTGACGCTGCGTAAACGGTTAAAGTTTCGCAAAAATCATGTATGACAGAATTGTTCCCCTTTAAAAGTTCTAAAAAAAAGTCCGCGATAGCATATGTCTATCTTTTAAGGTTGGCTCATAGTAACCCTTTTTATGCAAAAAGAAATCTGTTTTAAATTAATGCATTATTTGCGCAGGTTTTTTCATAAACATGATATTAATCCTTATCCAAATAAATAAGTTATTCATCACAAGTATTTAATTTTAAACATACTTGGCCTTTACACCATTCGATTTCAATAAATATCTTAGAAGATATCGCAGTTTTAAAATATCATCGCAGCAAAATAATGATCAAGTACTGCGCGCGCCACTGATGGATCAATGCACAGCCTAAACCGCTGATCGTAGAGACCTGAAACTTGGACGGTGTATTCTTTGTAAGACGTAAGCATCTGATAAGAAAGGATTTTCCAAAATTCTACCCCTAAGGAGGTAAAAAGGGGGGGGCAAAGTTTGTATGGGATAACGAGATTCCTTCGTTCAATCTACTTCAAATTTCGCATAAGCATTCTTATAACAGAATTAATGGAAGATGTGTTTCGTATTTTAGTGAAATGCACCCCCTAACTATGTTAAAAAGGGGTAGAAAGTTATTTTAGTGGTGATTTGCTTCAAAGTTGATATTAATTACTCATTAGTGCATTTTTTTTACAATCATGTCATGTTAAAGACTATCATACTCTAGGGGCCTCCACTTAACCTCGGAGTTGGTGCCCGCTGCGTGCGGCTCGCCTAACAATGCATAGTAATGCATGACGGTCAAGCCGCGGGCACCTGCTTGCGCTGTATACATAAACTCATTTTCGCGCGAGAGTTTTGGCGGAGGCCCTTGAGGTAGTGGGAGTAGTCTTGAGGAAAAGCTCCTTCTCCCACGGCCAGTGGCATGCTAGAAGCTTGGTGATTCTAGCACCTGTAGGAAAATAAAAAAAAAGTTTACCAATAATACTGCGGTAGGTGTAGTTTTCGATTTCGTTGCAAAAAGATAATACCACCGATCAAAGGCCGAGCTGCATATTCATAAAATATAAGAAAATTTTATTTTTATGTTTATTAATTTAACCTTTAAGATTTTTATATTTTATAAGTATTCAAACATTTAGATAATAACGTTAAAAACATTTAAAAATCGAATGAGAACGTTTTCGACTTCTCCGCGGACGAAGTCGCGGGCAAAAGCTATTTGTAAAATAATTAGACTAAATTATTAAAAGTGCCTACCCAAAGTCATTATTCCACGCGGACGAAGTCGCGGGCACAGCTAGTCTACTTATAAAAGTTGAAAGCTCGACCATTGAAGTTGTAATTGGAATTGGAAGAACCTAGAAAGTTTTAGCCTAGGCCGCTGACCATCGACTTTTAGTTGGCCGATAGTTGGGCCCAATTCTAATTTGTATGAAGTATCGGCCGATACCAAATCGGTGTAATGTGCGCACTTTCATACATCTCCGTACTGATTTAACAGCCCGACCGACTATCGGCCAACTAAAAGTCTGCGCCTAGGCTAATCCAATATTGGACAAATGTTTTCTAAAAACTAAGCGACCATATGGGACCGATATTGAGTCTTATCACGTTGTGCATTGGGTTAACCTTCGGTGTTGCATTTCATGCAGAATAATAGCGCTTTGTTATAAGGTCAGTCGTTGCTGGAAATGGCTTCTCGTGTTGCCTGAATGCATTCCGTTTTCACGGAAAAGCGTCGGTTTCAAACATTTACTTGAATAAACGCTATTTCAGGAGATCGGAACATTATATGTCTGTGAATGGAATGATAATGTTTCTAGTATGTTTAATTATATTAGAGAAGTCAATGTAAGTGTCTTCGTTCACCTCGTTCATTATAGAAGTCTAACTTATTTAATGCACACACTGTATACTCTATTTTACAGCTATGTATAAATATTTTAAATCATTTTAATATTTTTCTTCACACTTTCTTCAAGCCAAATGGGCTACTGCCATCTAATCAATTTTATACCAACTTTTAATTAGACTGCTGCACTTATTCAAAAAATACTCAGAGAAGAATTTATTAACTCTATATTATTATGTCTAAAGTCGTCTTAGGTTCGAATCTCACAAGACTCAAATAACCGAATGGTTCTAACTGTCGCACCAATTACAATTTTAGTATTAGCACAGAATAAGTAATAAAAGTGAGACGAGTTTGAGACTGGATAGATAGGTACTAAATTAATATAGATGTTACAGGAAATGTATGAAATCCGTCATTGTATAAAATTCCTAGGAATTGTGTATAATTCCTAAAATCACCCGGAAATGTGTGATGTAAATTATGTTAGACACATTTCCTACGATTACGCGGGTTCTCTATCAAATCGCCAAATTTTTTGTATGCCTAATTGTCTATTCTATGGCACACAAATTTCAAGCCTAAATTTTTTTTACACAAAATCATTTTTATTGAGTCACTTTTTTTTCTCCGAAACTTAAATAGCGCTCGGCGGCCGCTACCGCGGCAGCTGGTAAGGTCGCAAGTCTAACCTAACCTAACCTAACTGAGACTTTGTTATCCAGCTACAAGAGTACTAAAACCTTCATGCCAATAATAGTTTAATAAAAGAGATGTTAAAATTAGGAATTTCCAATACTTCAGCCAGAGGCGGGGCAAGACCTAAATTTGATGTGGGCAAGACAGATTTCGCGAGGCCTTGTTCTGTGGCGACCTGAAGACGGATTTTATGAAATAATAAAAAAAGGGTCAAAGGTCTATACATTGACAGTTTCTGATTTCTTGATTCAGTGATTATTTAAAGAATAATGTCCGTCACTTAAAACCGTGTTGTTGCTTAATTTTGTGTTTGATTATGGCTGAATTTGTTTGGAAAAAAATATTTTTTTATTTTTAACTACCTTGTTTAGCTATCAAGAATTTATATTTAATAGTCAATGTTTGCATTTATTGTCGTATTGTGATATTGTCATCTCCACCTTGTATACATTTTTTCAAAATTTTTGATGCGCGAGGCCCCTTGTACCGCGAGGCCGTAGGCGGTGGCCCACGTCGCCTACGCCTTACGCCGCCTCTGACTTCAGCGTAGTATGCGTGATGCCGAAAGAAAAAACCGCGCTGGTGCCGCTTAGTTTTATACATTTCCTAATACAATATTGGAATTCTATAAAATTCCTAGGAAAAGTATACATTTCCAAGGATATGTGCGTATTAAAAAATACCTGCAGCAATATTTTATACATTTCCTAAATAGTTTCGGAATTGTATACATTTCCTAAGAATAGTATACAATTCCTAGAATTCATACATTTCCTGTAACATAGATATTATTATGTTTACACAAGCATATTATCGATATAAACATGTATGACCCCATAAAATAAATTATCTTTGTCATCATACTAACATTTACCCTAAGCGGGATTCGATCCTGAAGCTATAAGCGTAAAGCGGTGTAAAATGTTTCTGTGACTATTATCGACCGACGTTTAGTACATAATGCACGGGTAACTGCATATATTACTGACACTGAACACAAATCAGTAAAAAAATAATGCCCTAATATTTTTTAATTTTGAGTATTTTATTTTATCGACAATCTGTTAAACACACTACTAATTATTGAACACATGAACATCATTTGTTGACTTTTTAATTTTTATTCTATTTTAAATTTCTATTGCAATCTTTAAAATTATTTTTGACACTTGTAAAAAGCTGACGCCCACTAGGTTTATTCCAATTGCGCCTGTTGAACGTGCGAGACAAAATTGGTTTATTCCAATTTGTACCTACTGCAAAACAAAATTTACTAAAAACTTAGTTTGCTTTCTATGGGAGTCTCTTGTTTATCTGAAACTAGCTTTTGCCCGCGGCTTCATCCGCGTGAAATTTCGTTTGTCATAGATCGTCATAAATTATAGCCTATTTGTTACTCTGGGTTATAAACAATAATACTGTAAAGTTTCATCAAAATCCGTTCAGTAGTTTTTGCGTGAAAGAGTAACAAAAATTCAGACATCCAGACATCCAAACTTTCGCATTTTTAATAATATTATTAAGTAGGATAATAGGTAGGTATTGTTTCCTACTTTTATCTCTGTGAATAGGTATGGCAAGGAAGCAAAGTAACATCCTGTATAAGTAATTTACAAGCCAAAAGGTATTAGTCTTTTTTACGGCAATCCAATTTTGCAATATAATGTTAAAAAACAAAATTCAACAAAGAATTCTCCAAAAAAAACATTTCCTGCAAAAATCGGGATGGTCGTGGGAAAGAGCCCTCACTTAGATACCTACCTAGTGTTTTGTCAGTGAAAGAATGTTCCCTGAAAAAATATATACTTTCATTCATATGTAGGTAAAGCCGTGGTAAAGCTCACTCGCCTTCGTGAATTGCAATAACTAAAAGTAAAGTTTTTGTAGCCCCAGGAAAAGCCAAGCTACTTATGGGTCCTACTTAGGTACTACAGAAATTCGTAACAGAGATTTCAGAGCTAGTGCCGATTATCCACAGGGCAAAGCGGTCAATTAGGGAGAATTACATTAAGTCCAGTCACGATGTTTGTCTATTATGCCTGTAAATCTATTAGGACAGCGTCACGTGACTTTAACACTTTTAGCTAAAGAAATAAACGAGACTTGCTTGGAATGCACATTTGAACAATTTAGGCTGGGTTGCACCATCTTACTTTGACTGTAACAAACGTCAAAAATCTGTCAAAATCCATACAAAAACCACCGGTTATTGTTATAGTTACGGTCAAAGTTTGGTGGTGAAACTCAGCCTTAGTCCTTAAAATTATTCTTGAAGTCATTTAAATGTTTTTCAATAGCACCTTAGGTATTTAACTAACTACCTACATCACAATATGTATATTTTACCTATACCTACACTCACTCTACTTACAAATATTTTGACATTATAAAACAGCTATGTAAATAAAGAATAGCTAGTGAATTATAATTATCTTTCATAAAGAATCTGAAAACTCAGGCGCGTTACTTTTTAAAATGTCCTCTTGAAATCTAACATAAATGATGGTGAAGTAAATCCTAAACCTAAACTACTTAATACACTGAACTAGCGTTACGTTGTTTCTTACTCGTATTCCAAAGGATGACTGGTAGAGTATGCAGAGATGATTTAAGAACACAAATTGGTTACCGATTACTCTTATAAAACAGATGTGTGTGCAGTGTGGTAATCAATTATTTCCAATTCATTCAAAAATTAAGGGTAAATTCTACCATCGAAAAACTAATGCGTAGACCGGAAATTAAGGAGAGCGTAGGTCATATTGACCCATAAGTAGTAATACCTTCATAAGTCCATCTTGAAGTCTCTTTCGCTTCTATCTTCACTGTCTTCATAGTAAATAATTATTAAATTAGATTTATTTATCACTGGTTAATTAACACCGTCACTTTCTATCCAGCCAAGAGCTGGTGGCAAACTGGTGGTGATCCGAGCAGTTCGCTACTGGCCAACGCAACCGGAGCCGGACTGTAAACATCCACTCAATGGAATCCCTGCACAGCTGACCGCCTGGCAACGTTATGTTACATAAAGATAATGATGTGACCACCGTGCAGGGTGACAAATATAGGCTTGTTGCAAATCGTCGCTTAAGTTCTATCACCACGTAAGTCATTTTTTGGAGGTTTTGGCATGTTGATTCCATTCGCTAGAGAATCGAAAGACGCGTCGTTTCGTCCAATTTCCTGAAAGTTGCTAAAAATGACTTACGTGGTGATAGAACTTAAACGATGAAATGACGACTTAAGGTTTTTGTTGTAAAATAGCGCCTATTGCTACCTAATAAGGTATACTTACTATAGTGTTTACCTTGAGGAGCCGTTGTCCGTGTTTGAGATATGTAATAATTATATGTGCGTCGGGTTCGTTATCTATTACGATCGAAAAAGTAACATTCAACCTCCTTTTCTGTTTGATTTCGGGACTTGGTGAAACGATCACGTGAATTAGTCAAGATTAATTTCAAAGCTATAAAAATTTCTATGAAGAAATATTCAGGAGTTTCTAATGTTTTGCTGCGATTATTTAGTAATTTTAGAAACTATTAATCATAGTATTAAACTAAAAACGATAAATAGTACAAATTGACTCAAAAATCTCACTAAGACGAATAATCTCACAACAAATCCACTGCGATTCGCATACTTTTAAATAAGCATAAAAATGCTCTACTGATCTACATTGTAGAATACATTTTCAATATTGTTAATTGCAATGAATAAAACGAAAAAAAAATGAAAATATAGTCAAATGTAGAGTTCAAATTGATACTGTGTATGAGCCTTATTATTGGTAGTCTACATCGAAAATGTTTTCCCGTAATTTGCATACAGCACGCGCTAAAATTTTGTTTTTCAACTTAAGAATCCTCGGAATGATTAAACAGGACGGGCTGGGTGCTTGGAAATGTTGATTTTTTCGTTTCGATGTGTGTGACACGCGACAAGTTTACATAACATTTCCTCTGAAATGTATTGATGATGTTGTGCCACTTTGTTCTACATTCGCTATTCGATGACCAACAAGCAGGTATGTTGTATTTTTTACGGATAAATAAGTCCGAATTAATATTTAATAAGTATTCCGAACCAATAGAATAGAAACTGGGAATCTTTCAAACAATAATTCCTGTCCCTGAACTGTCTGTCTTTAACTTGAATAAACCTATATTTGATTGCAAAGTGAAATATAGTTCAGATTCACTAAGACAGCTTAATCCCCGATTAAATCGATATTTATCGTACAAAGACAATTTATTTACAATTTTGTTTGGGGTCCATTGATTGGCGCAAATTATAGTCTGGCTCTCTACATTTCCTAAAAATAGCGGCCATCGCTCTGAATTATTGATTTGTTATCAAAACTAGAGCCAGACATCCAGTTTTTTTTGTTCATTTGTCCTTGATCTAGGACCTAAACAAGGTTGTGGTCCTGCCTCACAAGGTGACCTCCATTTTTTCAGTTTTTTCTTTCTCGTTAACCTTGGGACAAGATTAAATACCGCTAGAATAAACTTGTGCGTAAAGAAACGCCCGTATTCACAAACATTACTATGAGATCTCACAGTGTGCGTGGCACACGAACCAATCACAGAACTCTATTCAACGCTGTGCGCCTTTGCCGCTTCACTAGTGCAAGTAATCGTTTGTGAATACGGGCGTAAGTAGGATACTTCGATCGCCCGGTCTTTGTTTATGGTAAAACTAAACCTGAATCTTCTTTTATATAAGGGTGCACATTAATGAAAAAAGTTTTCATTTCATCAATTAAAGTATTTCATGCTCGATATGAGTAGGTATAATCTGTCGTATCGAATTGTACTGACAACTGTGCACAAAAATAGAAATAAATAATATTATATTTTATTAATCATCCAGTTAGTTTATCTATCACTGTATGCTGGAGTCAACATACGATCCCAATGCATTAGAACCTAACCTACACTATTGCTTCTCTCCTACACGTTCAAGAATTGCTCAGTGGGAAATAAATCGAGTCCTAAAAAGCTGTAGCTTTTCGTAGCAAGGATTCGTAGTCGTAGCTAACTACATACCTACTCACCTACTATAATTAATACTATCCTTTCGCGAACAGCAAATGCAATATTGCAATGTTGGCTGAAATGAGTCAAAGGTTATTAAGTGAAACATGGTGCTAAATAAAACAACAATACTTTATTCACCATTTATTGTTTCACAGATTATAATCACATCAAAAGTAAAAACATCATAATTACTTATTTGGCATTGATTTTGTTAAAGAGATTCTCATCGACATAAATATTAAATTTCAAAATTCTCTACTTGTAACATTTATGTTATATATTTTAAACATCCAAAGTAAATACTGTTAAACATTTAACACATAATATCCTATAATACTAATAACTATTAGAGTCGGGGAACACAACACCAACGTCGGAACAGTCAGTAAATTAAGTATTACTAAGGTATTAGAAAGTAGTTTGTCAAGGTTAATAACACAAACAAAAACCAAGCCTGCCTCGCTATACCCTGTATACATCTCACAACAATATCCATTATATCCTCCATTTCATTTAAAATAATATAATACTTATAGTAAGATAAATAGTTATAAAATAGGATTCAAAAATATAATCTTCGAAACATCATAGAGATTCCTTAATAGTTTCTAACATATTGTTCTACAGCAGAAATGTTTAATCAGACTCATAAGTTTATCAGGAATGTGCAGAGCTTACGGCTAGGGGGCTACACAAGTGTCAAACACTACGTCACACTAACCGGGGCGTCTACGTCGATCTTACGCTAACAACAGAATAAATGTTACTTATCATTAAACATCAAACACTGAAAATTTCAAAAGTAGATACCGAGTTACATTCGAGTTACGTTCTGAGCTGACCTGATGAATATTGTGCCGTATTACAACTAATTACATACTAAACATTAATTACACTTATTTAAGATTTAAAAACATCAATAAGTTTAATGGCATTTGATATAACAGCCTGGTATAAGTATATCACAATAATATTATTGTGACAAGGAAGGTACATTGTTTATATAATTTTTGACACCGATATCGAAAATTACGTAAGTAGGTACGTTTAAATAATAATGCAAGAGGTCAGGGCACAAATAACCTCTTAGCAATAATAACAAAACAAAAGCGAAGTAAGTACGCCCCTGAATCAACATAAGTAGGATGGGAGAAAGTCGCAACTGTTTTATGAAATTTAGATTTCATAGTTGCGGAATTTGGAGATGACTTCAGACGGGGGCTCCTGGTTGCCTCCGCCCCAGCGTCCCCAGAGGGCGGCGCCGCCCTCGGAGGCGCGGCGAGCGGCGGAGTTGCTTGGGCCGAGGCTGGAGGGCCCGGAGGCTTTACCTGGCTCGCCCTCCAGCATGCGGTCCTTGGTGTTCGGCTTGGACCAGTGCATGGACTGCTGCACGTGGTCCTTCATGCCCAGCCACTGCTTGTAGCCCATGGCGATGCCGCTCTGACGCCACTTGTCGTAGAGAGCGCGCTTGCCCGGGTCGCACAGCGTCTCCTTAGCGTCCTGAGGGTAAGATTTCATTGTTATTTTGAGGGTTGAAATTCGCCGAGGATACTTAAAGACTTGAGACCTAAGACTTACTATACAACGCAATAACAAACTGTGAGTCTTATGCCCGTTTTCACCATCAAACCCTAATTTTTAAGTAATCCCTATGAAAACAAAATTCCTGTTATGTCTTACCATAGGTTCCACTTAAAAATTAGGGATTGATGGTGAAAACGGGCATTAAACTTTTTAAGATGTCTGGAAGATATCGCTTTTGGAATTAAGTCCGCTATTGTACTCTACTGTTATATGGATATTACTCTTAAAAAAATATGTTGCTGCGAATTAAAACACCGACCTTCAATTTCTGGAATGTAGCTTCAGCATCTTTATCGCCGTTGTTCTTGTCGGGATGGTGCTGCAAGGCCAGAATCTTGTACTCGGCGGTGATCTGCTCAATCTGCAAACAATTCACGGCTTAATTAACAACCAGATTCATAAATAATCTTAGTAAATTCCCTCGCGCACCTTCGAAGAAACGGCCAACTTAATGTTAGTGACGCACTAAGTGACACAAACAGGTAAAATAATTACAACGGGGCTTTCCTAAATGATACAGCTCAAATGCAGGTTTAACTCAAGCATTCGCGTTCACACTTAATTTAAGAAAAAGAAAGGTTGTAATGTAGGTCAACTCTAGGGCCTCGAAAATATTAAGGTCACTGGGCAATCGATACAGATTTTTTAAATCAAGTTTAATGTTTATTGCATTTTACAGTTAGCTTAAAGTTAGGAATAATGGCAAAATTAAACACTCACAGAAGAATTCTCATCACACCCCAGCAATGCGTAGTAGTCGTCGTCCGGGTTCCGTTGATAATTTAGTATTTCATCCACCCCCGTCATTGTCACGACCCTCCCTTGCAAAACCCCAACAGATACTAACGCTAAGCGTGTGTGTGTTTTGTGTAGTATTCTAATTCATTCACTTTCATTCATTCGCATTAAGCGCACAGAGACAAACTGGTTCATTCATTCAGTTAGTGCTGCTGGTAGTTATAATAATGAGGATTATTAATAATTGTGACTATTATTATAACTTGCCTAATAGTTGTTAAGAGCTTGTAATCTAGTGCTGCTATTGAACATTTTAAATATTATTTATTTATTATTTTATTTATTTATTTATTTTAATTACACAGGTTTATACCTTATTACGTAATTACCTTATTATGTAGGTATCTATATGGTGCATCTATTTTTATCTCGTCCTTACTTAATGTAGAGTCGACAACAAGTTATGTTTTTCAATCTACTGTATATTAAATGAAATACATAAATGTTATGTGAATTACTAAGCCCGTCAGTACACTTTCAAGTGTTGGATTGTTAATTAACTAATTAGTGCATATTATAATTATTGTTATTACAGTAGAACGCCGATTATCCGAATTAATTGGGACCGGGGTCGATTCGG